AGGAGCCTGTAAAGGAAGTGCTGGAGGCTCTTTCCCCAAAAACGACTGCAGTGGCAGTGGTCCAAAATAAGTACTAGATCGAAGAATGGAGGGGCCACACCGCCTCTTGTACAGCCGAGGACTTAGTGACAGCCAACAGTGCCTGCGTGGCCTGGGCTCTGAGCACCAGTATCCAGCTTGAAGACTTGGTGAAAGACCTCAACGCCAAGAGGGAGGACCTTTCCAAACGCCTCGAGGAGGCGATACAGTACAGGGACGCAGTGAGGGAGGCTCGGGCCAAGGCTGCGGAGGAGGAGAAAGGTAGAAAGGAGGTTGAGGCCCAGCTAGCGGCTACCAAAGGGGACACAGAGCGGCTGAAGAAGGAGCTTTACGAGATGGAGTGTCAGGTGGCAGCTGTGACCCGAAGAGTGGATCATGCTAATGAGCACCACCGGCTCGCCACGGAGGCTCTGGAGGCCTCCAATAAAGAAAGGGTGGAGCTGAGGCAGAGGGTGGAGGCCCAATTGGAGGAAATTGCCTCCTTGAAGGAGAAACTGAAGTCGGCAGGGGAAGTGGCTGTTCAAAATTTTATTGACCACTTTGAGGAGCATCCCATGTATGACGACTTTGCAAAATTTTGGGCTTCCTAGAGTGCCCAAGGCATATTGGGTCAGTTGAGAGAGGTCCACCCTACTTTGGACATCTCCTCTCTGGACGCAGAGTTCGGGGGACCTACTGGAGGCCCGCCTGATAGGCTTGCCGAGGACACTGCGATAGCCCCTGAGGTGGGCGAGGCAGAGACAGAGGCTGGGGAAGGGCCTCCTGTAGAGTAGGGCTTATTTTGTAATGGCTTCGGCCTCTTGTAAATTTGAAGTGAATGAAATGAAATTTTTTTTACCAAGTGTTATTGCTTCGACTTTCGTATCGTATTGATCTATTTACGCATATATAAATGACAACCTTTTAAGACTAAGCTCCTCTTAATAACAATCAGAAGATCAGACCACTTAAGTAATCATCAAGCGTCTCTTAACAATAATCAGAAGATCGGATCACTTAAGAAATAATCAGGCGCCTCTTAACAACAATTAGAAGATCAGATCACTTAAGCAATAATACTGAGGGACTAAGGTAACAATTTGATAACCAATGTGACAAAGAACTGAAGTATCAATACTTAAAAAAGTTACATTATCCATTACCAAGGAATTTTCAGCGCTCAGTAGGATAGGAACATTACAAATGAGATTGGATCGGGACACAAACTTATTAGACAACATTGAGATTGGATCGAAATAAAAACTCATCACTGATAGTATTTTCTCAAGTGTTTGATGTTCCATTGATGAGATAGTGCTTTCCTTACCATGTCTTCAATTTCGAAAGTGCCAGGTTGGGATTCCCTGCGGATGCGGTAAGGACCCTCCCAGTTCGGTCCAAACATTCCTGACCCGATTGGCTTTGATGATTGAAAGACCCTTCTGAGGACAAGGTCTCCTAGGCGAAGAGTTCGATTTCTGACCTTGGAGTTATAATAATAGGTCATCTTCCTATGATACTTTGCCAAATTCACCTGGGAGGTATCCCTCCTTTCTTCAAGGAGGTGGAGTTCGTTCACATGGGCCTCGTCATTATTGACCTTGTTGAAGTGTATTCGTCGGTGCGATGGGACCCCGACCTCAACCGGACTCATGGCCTCGGCCCCAAAGGTTATTGAGAATGGTGTTTCTCCTGTTGCAGTTCGACTTGTGGTTCAGATGGCCCAGAGGACGTGGAAAAGTTCATCAACCCAAGCCCCCTTTGGGGTGTCAAGCTTCCTTTTTAGGGTATGCTTGATGGTTTTGTTTACTGCCTCAACTTGTCCATTTGCTTGTGGGTGATGAGGCATTGAGAAGTCCTTTTTTATTCCGAGTTCATCGCACAATTCTTGCATTTTCATGTTGTCGAACTATCTCCCATTGTCGAACACTAAGGAGTGGGGAATGTCGAACCTGCAAATGATATTCTTCCAGACGAATTTTGTAGTGTTTGCCTCGGTGATCTTCGCAAGAGGTTCAGCCTCGACCCACTTGGTGAAGTAGTCTATGGCGACAATGGCAAAGGTTGCGCTTCCTCTTCCTTTAGGGAGTGGACAAATGAAATCGATGCCCCACTTGGCGAATGGCCAGGGGCTGGTTACTACGAAGAGGTCTGAGAAGACTGCTTTTGAATATTCGAGAAGCGCTGGCACTTGTCACATTTTTGGACGAACTGGCAAGCATCCCTTTTCAGGGTCGGTCAGAAGTAGCCTTGACAGAGAACCTTATGTGCCAGGGCCGCTCCTTCGGAGTGATTTTCGCAGATTCCCTCATGGATTTCCCTCAGTATGTATGTGGCCTCTTCGCCTTCCACACATCGGAGAAGTGGTGAGGCGAAGCGTCTTTTGTAGAACATATCCTCTTTCAGGACGAAGTGCGCAGCCTTCCTCTTCAACTTCCTCACCTCGCTTCTAGAAGCAGGTAGTGTTTGATCCTTTAGATAGGCGATGATGGACTGCATCCATAATGGGGTGCCTTCTATCCAAAGTACCTCTTCTCCTTCGAAAATGGAGGGTTTTGATAAGTGTTTAATAGGGACAACTTTTAATAACTCAGAATCCTTTCTGCTAGCCAATTTTGAAAGGGCGTCTGCATGTGTATTCTCTAGGCGTGGGACTTGAATTAGTTCGAACCTTTCAAATTGAGGGACTAGGTCCAGCACTAATTTCAAGTATGAAACCACGCTACTGTCTTTGGCCGTAAAGCTTCAACTGACCTGATTCACTATCAGCTGAGAATTGCTGCTGGCTACGAACCTTCTGACCTGCATCTCTCTTGCCAGTCTAAGGCCCGCTAGAAGGGCTTCGTATTTGGTAGCGTTGTTCGAGACTTTAAAGCCGAACCTTACTACGCAATTTAGCTTGTGACCCTCTGGGCTTTCCAAGACTATTCCTGCCCCGGAGCCTGCCTTTCCTGAGGATCCGTCTATGAACAGTTTTCAGGTTGGGGGCTCGGCAGGTTCCATTATTGCCTCCATTTCCGGGCTTTAGCAAACTCAACCACAAAATCTGCAAGGGCCTGACCCTTGATGGCATGTCGAGGTGGGAACAGTATGTCGAACTCACTGAGCTCGATTGCCCATTTTAGCAGGCGTCCTGATGCGTCTGTTCTCTGCAGTACCTGCTTCAATGGGAAATTGGTGAGAACGTCGATAGAGTGGGCCTGGAAGTATGACATCAGTTTTCTTGAGGCTGTGATGAGGACAAGTGTCAATTTCTCCATGCCTAGGTATCGTGTTTCAGCTGGGAGGAGTGCTTTGCTGACGTAGTACATTGGCAACTGTTGTTCATTTTCTTCTCTGACTAGAACAGTGCTGACCGCCACGTTCGATACTGCCAAATACAGCAGCAGAGACTATTCTGGTTGAGGTTTGACAAAAGGGGTGCCTCTCCGAGGTTCTTTTTCAGCGCCTGGAAGGCTTATTCGCACTTAAAAGTCCATTGGAATTTCTTTCCTTGCTTAAGCACCTTGAAGAAGGATAAGCTCTTATCAGTGTCCCTGGAGATGAAGCGACTGAGTGCGGCTATTTGACCATTGAGGCTTTGGACCTCTTTCGATTTCTGAGGTGACTTCATTTCCAGCAAGGCCGTTATCTTTACTGGATTGGCTTCAATTCCTCTTTGGTTAACAATATTCCCCAAGAACTGACCCGAAGCCACCCCAAAGGTACATTTGAGAGGATTCAACTTCATCTTATATTTTCTAAGTATCTGAAAGGTTTGGTCGAGGTGACTTACCTGTTCGCTTGCCTGGAGGCTCTTAACTAGCATGTCATCCACGTAAGCCTCCATGGTTTTTCCGATGAGTTCAGCAAATATCATGTTGACCAGCCTCTGATATGTGGCTCCGGTATTTTTCAATCTGAACGGCATGACTTTGTAGCAGTAGAGTCCTCTGTCTGTGATGAATGACGTAGCTCCTCGTCAGGTCGGAACATAGGTATCTGATTGTACCCCAAATACACATCCATGAAGCTCAATAGTTCATGTCCAACAGTGGAATCCAGAAGTTGGTCGATTCTTGAAAGTGGGAAGCTATCTTTAGGGCACGCCTTATTCAAGTTGGTGAAGTCTACGCACACCCTCCACTTCCCATTGGGCTTTTTCACCAGTACCGAGTTGGGTATCCACTTCGGGTAGATGGCTTCCCTTATGAAACCACTGCGACTAAGCTTGTCTACTTTATCATTAAGAGCTTCGTACTTTTCTAGGTTGAGGGCACGTCTTTTCTGCCGATGAAGGGCATAGGAGGAGTTGATGCTAAGATGGTGGCAACTGATCCTTGGATCTATTCCCACCATATCCTCGTGCTTCCAACCGAAGATATCCAAGTTTCTTTTCAGGAAGCCTTCAGGGGGCAGTGTCTTCCCTATTCACAAGACCTAACTAGGGTCCTCTGGTTTGGTGGAGAAAGTTTCTAGTTCTTCAATTGGGGTTGCGTATGTTCAGAGTCAATTATCCGGGGATCTAACTCATCAAGAGGGTGTCCTTATTCAGGGGCCTCTTCCATGTTGACGTCTTCCTCGTGTTCGAAGGTATGCCCTTGTTCAGGGGCATCGAGCATTTCCACGTCCATACTGGCTTCATTGGTAACTTCAGTTATAATTACGTTAACAGTTGGGGGCTCTGACTTTCTCAGAGAGTTCAAGTAACATGCCCTGGAGCCCATCTGGTCGCCTCGGACCGTAGCAATCCCATGTTCAGTTGGGAATTTCATATACAAGTAGTGGATGAATGTGACGGCCCAAAGATCTTTTAAAGCGGGTCTGCCCAATACTCAATGATAGGCCGATCTGTGGTCTACGACTAAGAATTCCATGAAGTGTTGGGCCACTAGGGGTGCTGAACCCATCTCGACGGGTAGAGTGATCCGCCCTCATGGAACGATGCCGTCTCCAGTAAATCCGAATAGTGGGTTGGTCATGGGTATCAATCCATGTTCAATTTACATTTTGTCGAGGGTGGAGCCGAACAGTATGTTCACTGAACTTCCATTATCGACGAGCATGCGTTTGAGTCCCTTTCTAGCCACTACGACCTTTACAACCAATGCGTCACAATGGGGGTGGTGAACTCCTTCTGCATCTTCCTGGGAGAAAGTAATTGGAGCCATCTTATTGGCCGCCTGTGACTTGTTGACAATGTAGGTAATCATTGACGGGTCCTTTGCTTCCCTTATGTAATTCCTTTGGGCGTTCCTAGTGTTACCACCGATGTGAGGTCCCCCAATGATTGTGTCAATCTCCCTGATGACTTGGCTCCCAGAGAATGGGGCCTGATCTCTCTGTCTAGATTGTCCTCGGTCCCTTGATTTTCTTCTCCTGGGCGATTGCTCTCTACGCCCTCTCTCTTCCCTGTTCGGGGAGGTGGATTTGGGAGGATATTCGATCCTGCTGAAAGGATGTGGGTTGCTTCGATCTGGGTGTCGATTAGCGTCTCGGCATTTACTAGTGTTATGCCGATAGAGTTGGTGGAAAGTGCAGAATCTTGCCCCTTCCAAGGGCCCGTTTGATCGCTTCTTCTTCTTATTATTATCAGCTCTTCTAGATGGTCCTGCTTCGCCTAGAACATTATCGTATGCCAATACCGGCACTGCATTCAATGTGGCGGAAGCCAGTGCCTATCCGGAGGTGGGAGCTATTGTATGACCTGCTTGAGTCCATTGCTGAGTGACAAGGTGCGCTACAGGTCTTCGACCTACCTGCCTCTGAGGCAGAGGGAGTCCTTGCGCGGCATGATTTTGATGATCAATCATTTCCTTATTGACGATCTCTACTCTCATCATTTCCACCAGTTCGTCATAGGTGGCAGGATTCTTGCTGCACAAGTCCATCCAGAACAAAGTGTTCATGTTGAGGCCGTCTTTCAGAGCTGAAAGGGCTTCTCTGTCAGTAACCTGTTCGCAGTATGTGATTTCGTCTGTAAACCTGGTGAGATAGCTTTTCAGCGTCTCTCCAGGGGCCTACCTCATATCCTCCAGGCATTGCACCGAGGCCTTTCCTTCCCTGCGTGAGAGGTATTGGTTTAAGAATGCATTCTTCAAATCTGGCCAACTCCTAATGCTCAGGGGAGGAAGTCTACTATACCATACATCGGCAGCTCCGCCCAAGATTAAGTGGAAGGCTCTGCATTTCAAAATAGGCGAGGCTCCCCTGAGGCTCGTCTGTGTCATGTACTTGGTGAGGTGCTTCTCCGGGTCCCCCTTTCCTTCATACTTGGAGATCTTAGGGGTTATGAAGTTCGCCGACATTGGGAAGCTTCGAATCTCCCTTGAGAAAGGGAGGTTATCATCATCGTCATCGATTTCATAAGATCGACAGGGCCCATCTGACCCCTCATCATCTCCAATACCTGGGGAGGTTGAGGTGCTTCTCCTCGGCTTTCCCAGTTGACTAGGTTCTTTCTATCTCTCTTATTTCTAGGAGGAGGCGCCTGTTCTTGTTCCTGGTTTTGCTGAACTGATCTTCGCACTGAGCAGGCCCTATTACTAGGGTCCTGCCCTATTCGGTCGAAGACGCTTACTGACATTTGTTCCTTATATTCTTGAGGAAAATTGTCGCCTAGCTGTGGTTCCGCTGGCTAGCTTCCTTGCACATTGGATGTGGCTTCTGCGCCCACTTCTCTTTCGAGGGGGCGTTCTCTGTGCCAGCTCATATGGCCTCGGGAACGAGATACAAGGGCTTCCTGCACTGGGTAAGATCCTTGGGGCATTTGATAGCCCTAATGACGTTGGGCTTGCATGAGAAGTTCATGCATCGCCATATTCTGAGCTGCGATGTCTCTCATGCCCGCCGCTATTTGAGTCATCCCTTTAGTGAGCATGGCTGTTCTTGCACCTCGACGACGCCAGTGATGGGGTCTTTGGTAAGTGACATTGTTATGGAGCACCTCTTTTTCAGAGGCCTCTCTCATGGGATTGTCGTCTTCATGGCTGGAACTCATTCTATCTCCTTTTTCAAGGGTGATGAGAATTTGGGATATAACTCGACTTTGTTCTTTTCAAGAACGTGCCCTTTTCAGGGTAAGTAGCTAGTTTTCCGATTTTTTCTCCGGTGGAGAATGCAGAACTTTGAATGGGAAGTTTCCCACAAACGGCGCCAATCTGTTGATCTCGGAAATTGGACCCTCCACGTGGCCAACCGATAGCCATTCCATGTATTCCTCCTTGCGCACAATCAACGCACGGTCAAATGCACACGGTCGGAACCAACGGGGGTGGCGGCGGTCGTATACACTCCGACGGTCAAGTTAGGCTCAGGTGATCGAAACAGTACCAATGTTGTGCAAAATAGTGGAGAGGAGAATATATGTTTACTTGCTATAGAGTGCTAAGTAGAAAGAGTTTCATTACCTTTGCCTCTTGTCAAGTCTTGGGTATTTATAGGTGAGGAGAGCCATTAGATGTGGGACACGTGTATACATCTGAACGGTATGAGGCGTCTGCTCGTAGGTGTCAATCAGCCGCGTCTATAGAGTGGGTGGGTAGTTACTTCTCTCGAGTTGAATTGACATAAAGTTAATATGTCACATCAACTAACCTCATTAAGATGTCAAATCACTTTAAACCTTATGGGCAGAAAAGATCTTGACAAAGATCTCATTCTGAAATCGGCGGTGGATTCTCTGGCCGAGGTTCCGGGGTTAAATTCGCCTCGGATTCAAGGGGGGGCAAGGGCGCCTCGATCGGTCCTGCGGGATTACCTACGTCTCATAGTGTGATAGCAGATCGTCTCCATTGGTAAAGTCACTTCAGAACCACTTTGGATGAGCGTTCCACACCTCGCGTGATGTGGTGGTGGACTTTTCGAAGTGGTTCAATTAGGGGCGTAACACACGTCAACAACATTAGATCGTGACGGTTAATTTTCAATTGGAATCTCACGATTTTACATTTCTACGATTTCAAAACGACAAAATAATTTATATTTATTGTAGAATTTTGCAATTCCGTTGTTGGATTCTGGAAATCTAACTAGTTTTTTTTATTGTTACGGACTTTTCACTTTCATTTTGAATAGGTCTTAGTTTGATTAAATTAAAAAGATTAGATTAAAATTTAAGTCAAAGTTAACAATTAATAGTAATTACATATTTTATAGGACCACAATTTTTCAATCATATATTTCATCAACTTTTGTCAAAATTTACTAAAACTCTAATATATATCAGGGGCTAAATTAATTAGGTTGGATTGTTGGACACGTGGATTAATTAATTTAATTTTAAATTACTATTCAAATCTAATCAAGAAGGCAAAAATTAGAATCTCTAATTTGAAAAATCTTATCATTCACTA